GTTGACACGTTATCGTTTCCCAGTTGCGTGGTTCGATGCGCATGCTGTTGATCACTGGATTGTCTGGTGACAGACCGCCGCTATATAGAATATTGCCGAGTGCGGCGTAAACTGAACTCACTCTCACTACTGTTCAAATCATATCACTTGGCCTGTATGAATAAATGTGTCTGGACCAGACAACCCAGAGATAATTATACTCAGTATCAGACACGTTTTTGCAGACCATAGTTCCGCATAAACACACATTTTTGGCCAAAGCCCCAACTAGGCCACGAGACACTCAAATAACATAATCCCTCTATACGGGACTTTATGACACCCATCTTCATTAAATCAATGTTCATTTGTCCCTGGTATCGGGAGGTCCAACTCTGATATCTGACTGAGTGAGTTTGGTTTTACGCTGCTTTTAGCAATACCCCAGCAACATCACGGCGGGGGACACCACAAATAGGCTTCACAAAATGTACCCATGTGGGGATTCGAACCCGGGTCTTCTGCGTGACGAGCCAACGCTTTAACCACTAGGCTACCACACCGCCCCTTGATATCTGAATTGCGGGCTAGTTTGAATCAATATATGAGCATCATTCGAAAAAACATCAGGCTTCAAAAACAGAACAGGAAACAGTTCTTATAAATCATATTTAATTTCATATAAATACTTTACAACATCCAGTTTGGGTTCTTCAGGGAGGTATTAAATGAAGTGTATTGATGATATAGACAAAATGATAATGAATGACTTAGAAATAAACTGAGACACATGCTCAGATAAATAACCTGGACTAATGTGGACTATTCTAAAAACCATTCGAACCAGACAAAATCTGTCAAAATTATTATTTCAATTATCTTCTTTGAGGTAACAGCAATTTTACTTTATCTGGACATATTTCCAGAAATATTTCCATAAGATACTACTCAACATAGTCTAGGAACACCTGATTGTTTCATATTACTGTAATTGTTCGGCCATGGCATGACAGATGAACAACATACATATGAAAGTATCTGGTGTTCCTTAACTTGTTTTATACACTGCCACACCTGTCATACATAGAGGATACTACAGGTGTAATACCATTTTATTAAACGAAGTTAATTATTTGGTATTTCGCTCCTTTGATATGAAATCTTTCACCAGTTAAATACAAATGGTATTTCAGCAAGCGAGGTTAGTATTCTGGGCCCTTTTCACAAAGCTATCATAGCACTTAGACCGTCATAAGTCTCTGTTACAGTATAGGAGGTACCAGTAGTAGCACTACAATAGCTTTGTGAAACGGGCCCTGTTTATTACTCTCCAACATAAATTGATAGAAACTGCCTACAGTGTGATGACCCACAGCCTTTCATGTGTCAAGCAAGGTCTAATACCACTGTGATAGAGGTATTAGCATTGAGATTTAATAACTGTAAACCATTATGACCTCATATGTCTAGCTGTATTACACTAGTGTAATATTGCCGTAAAATATTACACTGCAGTATCTTTCATGGGCGAGTAATAATCTACTTCCCTTGCAATCGCTGTTTAACCATAGCCATGTCAAAAATGACTGTCAAAGGAAATCTCAGGTTGCTAAGACAAGTTCAGTTGTTTGATAGGCAGTTTTTAGTTGTTGTATGACAAAGACACAATCCATGGAAACAATTGCTTTAACTTACCATTATCGCAATGGTATATACCCTTCATAGCTCCTAAGGCAACAAAGAGAGTGTCCAGTTTGCAACTAAAAGACTAGTCCAATGAACGTGATAGTGAGTAATGCTGAAGTCAGTAATATTACACTGCCTCACCATGGTATACAGTCATTTATTTCACATTACATCAGAGCAGCATGTAGATAGTAATAGTAATGTACACATTATACATCTATATCACTGATGCAGGCACTTAACAGCTCCTGCAGTGCTGTTTGTAGTGGACAATATGACAATGTTATCAGTGTGTAACATTGAAGTGGGCAGTATCAGTTGTTAACATAGCCTGTAGTAAGCATTGTTACACAACACATGGCAAATAGTCAATAATATCATACTACATTGTAGCTGAATGTTATCAGCAATATTAAAATACATCAAGATGGACTATGAACTGTTGTGGACTCCAAGTCAGGGTATAATAACTAACTTTCTGCCAAGATCAGCTGTGCAATGACTCCCAGCTGTCTAAGTTTTCAACAGAATATTTCATGTCAATACCATTCAGCAATCTTCATGCTATATGACCGAGCTGTAAATAATCGAATGTTGCATCTTATAGCAAGTATGACCTTGAAACCTATACAAACACAATGTCCCCAAGGCAGACATTACCAAGTCACATATTATGTTACATTTCTTGCCTCCATTGACATTTCTTTTGCCAGCAGAAACATTTGATGAACCGGATATGGAAGTAATTGCATAAGCTTCAAATATACTTACGAAACAAGAAAAAGGAAAAACTTGCATTATTATGAAAGGGCTCTTATTTCAAGATAAGAGCATACCCATAAAAACACCCACTTCTTAGATCTGAAGACATTCCTTTACCATGTGTCATACATTCTGGTTTTTGATATTATGCCTTCCTAGGGTTTTTCCCTTTTGTCAAGGTATGTGTGACCAATGTGTCAGTAACAAAACCCTGCATAAAAAACATTCACTTTAACTATAAATGCTTATAATGAATAGGGTTTGTTATCAATTGCTCTCATTGGGGAAAAGAGACACTGCACAGTCATAAAAAGGAAGGAATACCATATGGCATACTATATGGTATAGGTTTTCTGTAGTCACCCATTGTCAACTAGGATCATGTCAGATGCAAAACCCTTGCATACAGACATGCAAGGGAGGTAAGTCAGGATTACTTCCCCTACTATCTCAGATGAAACATCCATCCACTCAGAAAACTTCATTCCTCCTAATTAAAAATCACAATGTTTTCACAAATTTCCACAGCAGTATCTTGTATGATCGGACGTGGAGATGCCAATCTTAGACCAAAAGAGGAGTAACTTTTGTTTTCAACATCCTGATAAGTTTCTACCATCCCATTAGCATGGACTGACCTGTGGGTGAGATGGACTTAACCCACGGATGAATCCCTGCCTGGCATACATTCAACACAGTTAACTTGAGATCCTGAAAATCTAACACACATCCAAAAGAAACATCAAGTTGTTCATATTTTGACTGAATATATCTTTGTTTATCAGAAGGTTAATGACAGGTTTATAAAATGATTTCTGATTGTCAAACTTGTAAAGTCTCAGGCACTACTGTAGAAAACTGGAGCCAAGCTTTGTCTGTGGTGAACTATGCAGGTTACCCTGGTCAATAAGGACTGACTTCACAGGGTGAGTGAGTGAATACTGTTTTATGCCGCTTTTAGCAATATTCCAGCAACATCACGACTGGGGACACCAAAATTGGCTTCACACATTGTACCTTGACTTCACAGAAAAATATTACCAAACTATGTCACAAAGAGCAATACGAGTTGACTCATGTTAACGAGTTAAGTGTGTTGATGAATCAAGCAAAAGCAGCCTACACTTCCTCATCCTCAATGAAACTATGAACGTCAACATCGCCATCCAAGAGAACACGCTTGTCATGACCCGGAAAGTATCAAGTGGGTATTCAAAAGGCAGAAACACAAACCATCGCCCTGACGAAAAACATCTGAGAATATGAATGCAATGAAGACATTTACAAGAGCAAAGAATATCATGTGATATACATTGCCTGAGCCATGCATGCATACAAAAGTTCAGACTGTAATGTACATCATGAATATTTACATCAGATGACAATGTACACCTACACTTCTATTGAGAGTCAGCGAGAACACTTTTACTCCACTTTTAGCAATATTATAGGCTGGGGAACACCATTAATGGGCTTCACACATTGTACCCAAGTCTTCAACATAACAAGCGAACACTTTAACTGCTAGGTCACCCCTCTCTAATGAAAATACCTGTGTGAACCTAACATATGTAGCATTCTGGGCCCCGTTCATCACAATGATCATATTCTGAAAAAATCATAATTTCCATAATAGGAAGTGTTTAACAAAGTTGTAGCGTTGGTTTGGAACAGGCTCTACATGAAAGATGACAAGCTTTTCAACACCTGCAGACCTACTCAGTAGTAACTTGGACCTGACAAACCGAAATTAATGCAGGTCTTCATACACTGAAACTCACTGGCATGGAGACAGTGCTGATAAACCAAGAAACAACCATAACGCCTGATGACCTCCACTGTTTTCTAAAATACAAGCCATAACTAAGCTTCATTCCTGACCACTTTTTGTCACTGTATCCCAGCAAAGTCTTTTTTCACAACTTGTCAAATTTCCAGTAATTGTTTCAGTGCCCAATAGGCTGACTTACACATCCATTCCCTTCCTGCAGGCCATTGCTGTCATGTTGTGACTGACTGGTTAGTGCTGACTCAGTAATATCATGCATATTGGCATAATCCAAAGTAATGTAGGTCACAAGATCTTACAGTTTTGCTGTTGCAATGAAAGGATCGTATTAGAACCTAGATCTCCACATCACTACGAGAGAATGCTGTGATGCTCAAACAACAGCCATTTTCCACGGATGGTATAGATTACGGGTTGCCTATTGAAAGGGGTTGAGGTCTGCAAATCATAAAGCAACCAACATCTTCAACTCAATCCATTTGATCACGTTGAGTTCAGTTCTGGAGCAAGTAAACTATTCATGCTGCAATCATAGGATGATGTTTGTGCTAGTGACAAGTCATCACAGACTGCCCTTTCCCTCCAACATAGCAACAACAACTATGCTGATCAGCTTGAGTTCAGTTCTGGAGCAAGTAAACCATACATGCTGCACCTAAGAATTATGCCTAAGCAGATAGGTGACAAGTCACTAGACTGTTTCTCCCCATCAAACAAGCTAGTAACAAGTTTGTGAAGGTCAGTTTTGGAACCAAAACAAGGATTCTAAAAAAATGAAGAGATGAACAGATAAAATTTTAATCACCAGCAAGGTCGATAGTCAGTTCGCTTGAGACTAGTAAAAAGGGTCTTCTCACAGAATGTAGTATTTTTATGCAAATAACTTGTCAATCCCTGTTTGGAACATTGACAGAAACAATACTGTCTGCATCTGGATGTTATACCTAATGTACAAGCCTTTACAATAATAGTGAGTAACACCAGAAATGGGCTTCACACATTGTACCCATGTGGGGAATCAAACCTGGGTCTTCAGCGTGAGAAGCCAACACTTTAACAACTAGGCTACCGCACTGAACCTTTACAATAGAAGCAATATTTTGAATGATTTACATAGTATAGACAACATACATTCATCGCGATCGAACAGATCATAAACATTCACGTAACTTTTATACAAATGGCCATCTTTGGACAATCTCTCCTGAAACTGCACGAGGTGCAACAACTTCAGGGACGCATTCAACAACAAACTGAAAGGGATCATGACAACGCTCATCTCCCGACACTTTTCATTAAATAAAATCAATACAATATACATTCCCCAACCTTTACTATGTACAAACAAACCCATCATTTACCATTTTGATTTAAACCATAACGGTTTCAAATGTTCAGTCATACCGTAAACCCCTTTCTGATGTAACAGATAATTTGATTTAATAACCATGCTCACACACTAAGAATGATTCTGACCCATGATCAATGGACCTACCATGTGACTACTGTACAATGGACTGTCTGACTGAGTTTGGTTTTACGCTGCTTTTAGCAATATTCCAGCAACATCACGGCGGGGGACACCAGAAATGGGCTTCACACATTGTACCCATGTGGGGATTCGAACCCGGGTCTTCGCCGTGACGAGCCAACACTTTAACCACTAGGCTACCCCACCGTCCCTACTGTACAATGGAAGGGAGGTTTGCAGATATTGACAACCAACATTAGTCATGTTCAATGCTGTCATTACTATACATGTCATTGCGATGCACACAAACATATGGCTGAACATACAACACCAGTATGGATATCCAGGCCATGTGGAAATAATATGGACTAGTTTTTTATCGTGACAACACCAGATCAGCTACCAGGAAACATGCCGAAAATGAATATGGATTTCATGCATGGAGTCTGCCCATTGAAAGAATAGAAGTACAGTGAAAGGCTTGAATCTGACTGAAGGAACACATATCAGAGTGAGAGAGTGATGTGTAATGCCACACTTCCAAAACTATATTGATGACTGCATATTAGGCAACATTTCCTATTCTTTCTTAAATCAATACTAATTTGCACTGCCAATTCAAGTTTAAGGATTAGAAAAACATATGCTGACACTACCAAAAAAGAAAAAGAAAAAGACAATCTTTAAAAATAATTGATCAAATGCATTGAATTTAGCCTTTGGCTACTTCAAAAACCTTCAAAACATAAAGCCTTTTTCTGAAATATATACATACTCATCGTAAAATAAAATAAAATAACAGACTTTGTCCCAGAGCAATCAGTGGTCAATTGCAAGGGCACTCATCCACACTGTGAAGCTTGGATGACACACAACCATCAACACAGCAATTTGACTCTCACTGAGTTACCCCAGGCTTTACCCTAGGGACCTATTCTGCTCATGGACAAGTACACAGTAATCCAGTCCTACTTTCCCCAAATGGTACTAAAGCTTGGTCTACTGGGGCTTCCACTTTCCCAGGATCCTATGAAAGGAGGATTCCTTGGGAACCTAATCTGTGCATGGACGACACGGACATGGATCTCCAGGGTCCTACTCTTGGAACAACTCTTCCCAAATGGTACCAACCTTGGTGTACTGGGGACCTACTTGACCCTGGGACCTCAATGTCATGGTCACCGATACAGGTATGTTTTATCATTATGTCATTAAGCATGAAGTTAAATTACAGGAACATCGGTATGTATGTACATCATCCTGTAATGAACCACCAACATGGTCTCATGGCGACTCCACCGTACAAAAATATCAGTGTTTGTATCAAGGCATAAAATCATTACAAACGGAATATTTCTTCAATCATTAATTGTAACATCACATCAAATCTGTGCTGTGATCATAGCACTGGGGGACAGAACTCAATGAATGAGGTCCCGTAAAGTCAATACATCAGCTCACGGTGTCATTTAAGGCCCAAAAACACATGTAGAAATATTGCAGATCCGGACAACCTCCCACCAGCCACTGACTTCCAATCTGAGTGAGGGTTATGATATGTACACTGTATATACAGTCACTGTACAGATGAGGAATCACAGGCTCTCACTACCACTCAGCATCACCTGTTGCCTTTTGGAACACAAAGTCACGACCATTGAGATTCATTATGCCATCCTTTAAATGAAACTTCCACTTGTTTTTGTTGCGGTTTATCTGGAACAGACAAGAAATATGGAAACTAAACGGCAGAAGGATTCAATATAGTGAGTGAGTGAGTTAGTTTTCCACCCCTTTAGCAATATTCCAGCAATTCCAGCAGGGGACACCAGAAATGGGTTTCACACATTGTACCCATGTGGGGAATCGAACCCGAGTCTTTGGCATGACAAGCGACCACTCAAACCACTAGGCTATCCCACCGCCCTGATTCATTACAGGATTCAACAGGTGTCTACCCCATGTATGCTCAATCGGTAATATCTGGAAAAAATATATAGATATGTCATAGGGATATTTCAATGACCAATAACCTGTGAAGATCAGGGTTAGAATTTGTCTTCAGCAACCCATGCTTGTCGTAAGAGGCGACTCAACAGGTTCTATAATGCTTTTAGCAATATTCCAGCAACATCATGGCAGGGGACACCAGAAATGGGCTTCACACACTGTACCCATGTGGAGAATCGAACCTGGGCTTTCGGCGTGACGAGCGAACACTTTAACCACTAGGCTACCCCATGGCCCCTGGCCTTACTAAAATAGCATTTTTATGCTGACTTACCTTGTCATACTGACAGACAACCACATTGTCTGTATCAAACAACTCGTCTGGGTCCTGCTCACTCACGTCATCTTCAGAGTTCAATGGTTCCTGCAGTTGGACAGAGGTGAGGTGAGGTGAAATTGGGTTTAATGTCGTGCTTGAGAATATTTCGCTCATATGACGTGTATGCGTGTGTATGTGTATGTGCGGCTGCTTGTACTAGCCCAGACTTAAGCTGGTTTTATAGTGCTAGCCCCCTGAGATACCATGCCGCATCGAAGCATGAATACCCCACTCAGACACATTATACTGACTCGAGTCCTCATTAATGCCGTACCATATTTTAACGTCTTTTGGTATGACGCGGTCAGGGATCGAACCAGCTACCTTCCGCTCTCCGGGCGGACGCTCTAACCACTACACCACGGAGGCGGTCGCAGTTGGACAGAAACATCAACAACACAACAAAAGCTGTCAGGTCTCATGCCAAGCCAGGTATATGGCCAAGACATGGAAAGTGAGTTGGGGAGCAATAAGTATGTTTTAACACTGCTTTGAACAACAGTTTAGTCACATCATTGCAATGAGCTTGAAAAGCTTGATGTGTGAGAAACCTCAACAATGTTTCAGGTCTTATGTGTTCAGTAAATATTCTAAAATTATAGTTATCTCTTTGATAAACAATGAAACGGTGAAATCTGTGTGATAATTTACTATCAAAGGATCCTGGTATGCTCAAGGGAGGTAAGCCAGAAGTGATGCAGCTGTCAAATATTTACAACTTTGGAGACATCAAAGAGATTGGTATCAAGCTGATAAACCTAGTAACATAATCCAAACAAATGAAGATTCCAACTCACTATTACAGATATTTGGTGTGCCCAAGGGATGCAACTCTGACAGGGGCGTAGCTAACGTTATAGAAAAAAGTCCGGGCTTACACATGATTTTTGCTAAAAGGTTGGGCAAGCCCTCAATACTATCTACATTTAAAGCTTGCAACCTATCGGGTTACACGAAAAAATAGGCTTGCTACGCACTTGTCTGATATCAAGTAAGTATGTGCCCAAGGGATGCAACTCTTATATCAAGTAAGTATGTGCCCAAGGGATGCAACTCTGATATCAAGTAAGTAGGTGCACAAGGGATGCAACTCTGATATCAAGTAAGTAGGTGCCCAAGGGATGCAACTCTGATATCAAGTAGGTGCCCAAGGGATGCAACTCTGATATGAAATAAGTAGGTCATGCAGCTAGGTCAAAGAAAAGATAGAAGCACTTCCTTAACTACCTGATGGTCGAGTGACAACATACCTCTTCCTCCCCCTGCTCTTCCTCTTCATTGTTTTCATCATCATTGTCATCATTGTCGTCATCATCGTTGTATTCATCATCTTCAGACGAACTTGTGTCACCAGCACCGTCCAGTTGAACCATCCCCTGGCCATTCTGAAATACACATGTATTTGGCATAATGTCTTGGTTCTACTTCTAGACACAGCCACATCATCATGAAGTCTGCTCCACTATAATAAATCATCACAAGGCTTGACCAAGTTCAATGGTATTCACGGACTGAATGCCAGACAATATTTCATACATAGAGAGGAAGAATATGTGCACTTGCTGCGAAAAGACAGACAACATTATAATCAGCTGTTCACGCGTTTTCTCCCTGATGGGTAATTGAGTTTAGAAAATACTTTTGATAGTCAGAATATTAGGTAAATATAAAGAGGGAATCAATTTGGTCACTGAAAATAAAATTATTGACAATGGTGACCATAAAACATATGAACATCTGCTGATTAAGGAAACACAGGTAGTTAACTGGCTGTTACAGTGAGTGAGTGAGTTAAGTTTTACGCCGCTTTTAGCAATATTCAAGCAATATCCGGGCGGAGAACACCAGAAATGGTCTTCACACATTGTACCTACGTGGGGAATCGAACCCGGGTCTTCAGCGGGACGAGCGAACGCTTTAACCACCCCACTGTCCCTAACTGGTTGTTACAAAAATTACAGTTCTTTTTTACCACTTCTCTTATGTTTCTGGCACCTACCGTCCCATGGTCATACATTGGATATGTTAAGTAGTCTTGAAATAGGCAAGACGAACCTGTACACAAGCAGTAGCGATGACAACTTACTGGATTCTGTGCTCGTATCTGCTGTCCTGGCGCAATCTGAACATTCTGTATGTTGGTCATTCCTGGGACCTGGCCTTGCATTTGCCCACTCTGAATTATGGTTTGATGGGGGATCGTGGTGATGGCTGTGGCTTGAGGAGCCTGCTGGAGATGCTGCGATAACACCTGGATGTACTGCCCGTTACCTAGGATACAACACGAAACGTGCCACATAGTGAAATTATCATGAAGTTCTGTAATGCTTGTTAATCGATATACTTGAATACATTTGTGTGGTAATTTCTGGACAGTAATACAGTGTATGCGATATATAACTTTTACGCTGTCTTTAGCAATATTCCTGCAATATCACAGCAGGGGGACACCACAGTGAGTTAGTTTAGTTTTACGCTGCACTCAGCAATATTCCAGCTATATGGCAGCGGTCTGTAAATAATTGAGTCTGGACCAGGCATTGTAGTGATCAACAGCATGAACATCAATCTGCGCAATTGGGAACCGATGACATGTGTCAACCAAGTCAGCAAGCCTGACCACCTGATCCCGTTAGTTTCTAGTAATATTTTAGAAATGGATGCAATCTATATAAGAGATAATATCATTAACAACATAAGAAATCCCTTCTGGGGATATGTTTTATCATCCTGGGCTCTATTCCTGAACAAACATTAGAAAACACAAAAGGATGCATACTCACAGTTTATATGGTATAATGATAATGTTAAGATTGATAAAATATGTATATTTATTAAACAATGGGATGAAGCCGGAGTAAAATATATCAACGATTTGATAGATCAGGATTGCCAAATTCTTTCATACCTCTATTTAAAAAATAAGTACAATATCTCCTGTAATTATTTAACTTTTTACAGGGTAAAAAATGTCTTGAATGAATATTTAAATGAGCTTGATTCTGATGATACTGACCCATTAACAGCACCAGTGTTACCATTTAATATTCGTTTGCTCCTGAATAGCCAAAAGGGCTCAAAATATTACTACCGTATATTACCGTAGATAAGCCGAATTTTGAGGGGAAAAAAAAGCAGTCTCTAGAAGGGGGTCGTCTTATCTATGAGATATAATTTCTTGAAAGTATTTTTCAGGTCGTCAGTGCCCGGGCAGGACGATCTTACAGGTTAGCGGTACAGCAGTGGATGTTTACGACGATTACAGCCACTTTCTTATACATGATAAATAAAATACATATAAAAGTATACATTTTGTTGTTATTTCAAAAAATATTTTGCCCTTAGTCATTATTAAGTTTCGTACGTACCTATTTACACGCAATAAATCCACAAACAAGAAGTGATAATCCTGCCCGGTCGCCATTTGCAAAATACATATTAAAGTATACATTTTGTTGTTAATTCAAATATAATGTTTTATTAGGATCCAAGTTTCAGAAGACTTCAGCCAATCAACAATGGGAGGAAGATATAGAAAAACAATATACAGATATGGAATGGAGGAATATTAATGAAATTCGTTTTCGATCAATTGATAGTGTTCAATTACGGTGGTTTCAATAAAGAATTATTAACCGAATCCTTCCAGTTGGAAAATATTTATTTAAGATTGGATACTTAAACTGTCCTGTTTGTACAACTTCTGATAAGTTCATAGCAGATATTAGTCATGTTTTATGGAATTGTGAAATTGTGAACTCAGTCTGGATTGAAGTCCAAACTGGATAAACAGCAAGGCGGAAATCAATATACAGTTTACTAAAGAAACAACTCTGTTGGGCTTTACCTTCAAAATGAAATGACCCGTTAAACGTAATCTGTCTCGTAATAAATAACCCAATTTTCAAAGTTTATCTCAAACGAGGAAAACTTTCCTTTGCTTCGATCGAGAGGGAGTTAACAAATTACAATAACATTACAAAAGCAATAGCTTACTCAAACTGTCATTACAACAAATTTGTTAAATTTTGGTCCAGTTGCCATAAGCTGTTTGTTTGAACCATTCTATTCAATTACCCTTTTCGATGAAACTTTGTTTCTTGATATATGACATTGGTCCAGTTGCCATAAGCATTTTGCTTGAACCATTCTATTCAAATACCCTTTTCAATGAAACTTTGTTTCTCGATATATGACATTGGTCCAGTTGCCATTAGCAGTTTGTTTTCAATGAAACATATGTTAAATGACATATTATGACATATATGATTTGCTGTACAAAAAAAAAAGTGGAATAAAAAAATAATAATAAAAAATAAACATGGGCAAGAGTTCCGCCTGTAACCCCTGCTTGAAATGTATTCTATTCATTAGGATTATTTCAAGGGGTTTGGGTTTAGGTTAGATTTTGGGTTAGTGTTAGGGTTAGGGATAGGCATTTTATTAAAAAACTTATTCTTAGGCATAGAATGATAATAAAAAAACGTGGGGTACGGGCAGACATCTTTCCTAAACATGCCCAAGTTATAACAGTAATATTTTCACAAACAATTCAAAAATTAGATCCTCGTTGTCATAGTCATGGCAGCATATATTTTAAATATATATCACAAAATAATCGCCCATAGTCTTCTCGGCACGAATAAGCCAAATAAGCAAGTCTGTTTGAGAATATGAGAAAAGTCTAATCATATGAATTGGTGAAATGCTCCCATCTGACATGTCACAAGTCATCACTGACTGACTGACTGAGTTTTGGTTTTACGCCGCTTTTAGCAATATTTCAGCAACATCACGGCGGGGGACACCAGAAATGGGCTTCACACTTTGTGCCCATGTGGGGATTCGAACCTAGGTCTTTGGCGTGACGAGCCATTAGGCTACCCCACCGCTCCCACAAGTCATCACTGCACAAGACCCTGCCAAACAAGTAGATGTGGTGATATGGGCTAATGTTGCAAATACCCCAATACCAGAGTCTCACCTTATTCACAGATTGACTGACTGAGTTTGGTTTTACGCCGCTTTTAGCAATATTCCAGCAACATCACGGCAGGGAACACCAGAAATGGGCTTCACACATTGTGCCCATGGGGTAATCAAACCCGGTTTATTGTTTAACCACTAGGTTACTCCACATCACCTTATTCACAGAATGAATGTAACCATGAAAAACTTTGTTTATTGTTTAACGTTGCTCTCAGCAATATTCCAGCGATATTATGGTCTAAATAATCGTGTCTGGACCTGACAATCCAGTGATGAAGAGCATGAGCCTCAATCTAATTGGGATACAATATCAAGTCAACAAAATCAGTGAGTCTGACAATCCGATCCCATTAGTTGGCAAGCATGAGTTCCGTGGTGTAGTGGTTAGAGCGTCCGCCCAGAGAGCGGAAGGTCGCGGGTTCGATCCCGACCGCGTCATACCACAAGACGTTAAAATATGGTACTTGTTGGTCCCTGCCTGACGCTCGGCATTAATGGGTACAACAAGGACTTGGTCGGCTCGGAGTCAGTATAATGTGTCTGAGTGGGGTATTCATGCTTCACTGCGGCATGGTATCTCAGTGGGCTAGCACTATAAAACCAGCTTAAGTCTGGACTAGTACAAGCAGCCGCACATACACATCCACACGCATGCACGTCGTCATATGAGCGAAATATTCTCAAGTACGACGTAAAACCCCATTTCACCTCACGTCACCTCTTACGACAAGCATGGGTTGCTGATGACCAATTCTAACCATGAAATAAACTGTCTGCACAACCAGTGTGAGTGCGGGGAATAACAAACCATAGTTTTCTTGCCAACTGCATAACTCTGTTCAACAGTTCATTACCAGCCCTGGTTCAAAGAAGTTTCTGAGCTCTGCACAGTGTTGTTGAGCTGTTTACCTGTATGTAGGATGGTGTTTCCAGCTGAGTTGAGAGCTGCTAGTTGGTGATGGAACAGACCCTGCGGCAGAGCCATGGTAGCTGTAGCTGCTGCACCCTGGGAACACAACATGAAGTTGGATTAGCCACTGGTAGTACCGCTCACAGTGTATCACATCACGGCTACCTTGACCTTGAACAACGAAGATGCTGTAAAGAAGATCTATAACACAAGTCAGGGTTAGATGTTGGCAACACAAATTACAAAGACACTGGGAATGAATACTAACTGCTGATCCATAAAGATTGAATATAAAGTACAGTCCAATCCCGATGAGTCGAATCGCTGGGGACCAAGTAATACATTCGACTTTTCGATGTATTCGAGACATAGGTATGTCTATGAGGGTAGAAAAAAGATCATCCAGTCCTAATTCCTCCACCTAAGCATTTGTTTACCTAATGATTTCCCTATCACTAATAGGGGCACCTTATCAGTTCCAGTCTGATTAGCACAATCTGCCTCTTGCACTCACCCGTCAATTTTGGAAAGGTGTGAGCCACGCTGGTTTGTTAATTGGATCAGTTTGCTACACCAATCAACTTCTCATTGACTGACTTTGGCTTATGTATACAAGATTGCTGTTGTTTGAATCTCATGGGACCAAATTTCCTTCTCGAGTCATCGTGTGTATTTATGAGACAAATTCGTGTAACCAGTATTCAAATGATGACAACTATAACAGGGAATGGTCGGGACCGACAGGTACTTCGAGTTATGCATAATATTCGAGACACCGGCATTCGACTCATCGGGATTTGACTGTACTGTGGAATGGAACAGAGTCACAATCTACTATATAACAGGGACCTGGTGCCAACAACTACTGTTACCAAGGTTACACTAGGACTCAATAATAACACATTCTACGACAACACAGGGACGCAATGCTCACACAAAGCCAACTACAGTCACACAAATACAATGGTAACACAATCTACAGGCACACAGTGAGCGAGTGAGTGAGTTGAGTTTTACGCCGCACCGATGACATGTGTCAACCAAGCCAGCGAGCCTGACCACCTGATCCCGTTAGTCACCTCTTACGACAAGCATGGGTTACTGAAGGTACATTCTAACCAAGACCTTCACAGGTGTGTGAGTTCAGATTTATGCCAGTTTTAGCAATATTTCAGCAATAACAGGGTGGGGGACACCAGAAAAAGGCTCCACCCATTGTACCCATGTGGGGAATCAAACCCCATCATTGATGTGACAAGTGAACGATTTAACCTTTAGCTAACCCACCACCAGACTAATTCATGTGGACACAAACTGAAATTGAAGAAAATGATTTAAAGTCAATATCCAATGGTGCATCTTAATAGTCAGATTCAGGTGCAAGTGTATAGTCTTGCAAACATCTAAAATTCAGTCTCTGTTCACCAGTTTTAATGGATGACCACAGATACACACAAAAATGAATGCTGTTCTGCTTTCACATCCAGATAGATCCAAAGGACTATGCTAACATTCAAGCTGAAAGGTCTTCAGGATAACAACTTTAAATTAAAGCAAAGTGCGTCAGGCAAAAGGAAAAGTACCATTTCCATTTCTGAAGTTAGATCTACTGAGAAGAGTACAGACACCAAAATATTACACAGGACAAAGTAGTATAGTTTGGAGGCTCTGGACCTCACCTGCCATGTATTTGTAAAATTCTTTGCACACAGTTCAACAAGTTATCATTTCCTTATCTCTGTATATTCAGGTTCCACCATAACCTACCTAACTAGGGCTTCCGAGGACTTCCAATCACTAATTTCAAGAATCCTTGCTTGAAATATGAGGACCCTCTAAATGGTGTAGCTTTAATTTCTTTGATTACAGGACCTCTATTTTTCTTGTCTCCCAGGATGCAATACATTGTTTTCGGTGTCCATTTAAACATTTGTGCATACTTGACTTACATTTCTGTATCGCGTAAAACCCTGTATATTGATTACGGAAAAAACGTCCATAGCCTCATAGTGGCAGATATTTCGGCTATCTGGTTGCAAAGCAGTCGGAGTGTAAAGAAAATGAAAGATAGCTGTAAGACCACATGTTAGACAAAACCATGCATGAATCATCAGTACATCTGTCAAAGATGACAGTGTTTTCAGTGTGAACGGTTAGCTCATACAATATTTATTAATGTAAACTCAAAACATTGTTAAATACTACTGGCCCTCAAATTCATTAATGGTTTGGGAGAGTGAAAGAAAAAGAAAGAAGTCAGCCTCTACAAGAAACATATGAATACAAAATTCTAAAGAACCAAAAGCATCATTCTCAGAATCATGAACTGCTGGTATTGGGAAATCCAGTGCATGGATGTAATCATCTCCAGGGTACGCAGGGCGGTCAAGATATCTTCAAAATAAATATATCCAAGCTAACAACTAAGAACAAAACGATCCCACTATCACACAATCTTAAGGGCAGTCAATTCATTTACTAAGCCATGGGCCAGACAATTTCTTCAGTACCACTCTTAGTGATCAAACACTTATTTTTTTGTAAGTGGTTATGGACTCCACATATCAAAAAGGTATGATGGCCATGTCGGTTTGGTAGCTAAAACTCAGAACGAGGCTAAATCCAAGATGGCTACCAAACTTACAAAATGTGGGGGAAAAGTCAAAGTTGACAATTTGATACAATGACTGGTCCCTTTAAAGTTCCTGGAGTGCATGGGGTGGTGTTGTGTGGGAAATATCTATCAGCATACTCTGAAGGAGTATTAGGGAATCTGAACATTTTCCCCTTGCGATCCAGAGAATATTATTTTCTCTTGGGCACCAACCCCTCTCTATCAGTTTGTCGGTACCTCATCAGCTCTAAAGATGAAATATACCCTGACCACATGCAGTTCATTCAAAAGAAGAGGATGCTTTTCATGTTCACATTATATTTTCATAAGTTTCTTTGATCAGCCTGGTGCACTGATTAGTGGAGAGTTCTGTGCAGTTGAAGAAAGGGGAGCAGGTCAAACTGAAACTCACTTGGGGTCTAATCGAAATTCTCTTTAGCTGCAACATAACAAAGGCTGAATGCATCTTTATCAATCCTATGGTAACACACCAGCATGGTACTAGGCTTTAAATGTAGCGTCTCAAAGTTACTTTGTTCAATACTTTGTTCAACTAAAATGAAAGGCACCCGGTAAAAGGCAGTGAATGCAATTACCAAGGACCTCCCAGACAAGTTGGGTTTATACTCCCCAGGATGAGGAGGATACAATATTCTGATTGCACACTGATCCATCAGGCTGAGAAGTAATTCATAAGTTCAAGGGGCATTATAACCAGAGATGCCAACCCCAAAGTGTTGCAAATAGTAGTTTCAAGGATCAAAATTTGTAGTTTGACCATAAAAGTAGTAGTCAACTAAATACTAAATCATGATGGATTCTGAAAAAGAAAACGAGACTAACGAAGAGCGAAGCTTTAATTTCACACACCTCCAACAGCAGATTTCACATACCTCCAACAGCAGATTTCCACATTATCAGTATTACATTTCTTCTTGTCTATTTTTTGTGAAAATTTATTTAATCGACAAAAATATATGTTTTTGTCTACATATCCGAACTCTAATGAATTTTCTTCAAATTTCGTAGAATTTCTAGTGCAATCATATTGGAGTAGTTTGAGGCTAAAATTCGTAGTGACTACGATAAAATCGTAGAGGTTGGCATCTCTGTATAACTAGGTAATGTCTATGTAAGTGACTTTTAACTCACTTCCACTTCATCTCACCATTAAACATGATGCCTGTGACAGGCAAACAGAAACATAAGAGAAATATGAAAAGCATGTTTTCAGTGATTTTTAAAGACATATTTTGTTAATTCTTAACATTTAATTCAATGTTTATAATGTGAAACTAAGTAATACAACCTTTAACACTTTTACAGGCCAAGTTAGTAAAGATATTTGGCATGTTTACAAACTAAAACTGTAATTATCACACTGGCCTGAATATCTAGCCAGTCGCTATTGGGCTACGGCCTCTGATCCTTAATGGAATCCTGTGTGTCATGCACTTGGTGTATACAAAGTGTTAAACCATGGGCTTCAGAAGTAGAACATCCATGCTTCTTGATATATGATGTTCTGATTGTGTGAAACACTTGTCCATATGAGACTGATCACAGCCACAACATGAAGCCTTCATCCATTACAATTATGTTAGGGCTAATAAGCTCAACTAAGAAAAGCACATAAAATAACATTATGGCAAAGGCACAGACATGATGCTCTCAAACCTAAAAAGGATTCAAACTCACAATCATTGACTTTTGAAATGCTCAATGGGAGGCAACTCTGCACAGCAAATTACAGAACATCAACAACTGGGTCCATTATTTTACAGTATACTACTCAAAAGAGTAAAAGAACATCAAAACTCTTCATATGACTTAAGTTATGGTCATGGCCATGACAGTAACTACAGTTAGGTGTTGTTTAACCTCTTTTGGGTAGTATACATTTATATCTGAACTAAACTGTCGTAACTAAAGAAACATATTGATGTAAGAGAGTAAATGTACTGGTACAGTGAGGTCCCAGCAGTAAGCATCAATAGTGTGATTGGTCTTGTTGTGATATTCATATCATCCACAACATGTAGCAATATATAGCCACCAATGGATTTCCAACTTGGCTGTATATTGTATTAGCTGAAAGGGGTATATTTTATTATTCAATAGCAGGATATTGCATGAGCACAGAATACACAACAAGCACAAATGTATTAAAGCTAGACAGAATGGGTATGGAACAGACAAAGCTGGACGACAAGCAAGCAGCTGTTTAACACAATCATACACTTCATCAGTCTGAGGCATGTTCAACCAGACAGCACATACAAAATGATTTCTAGGCGTGGAACATGTCACATGACCCGTAATACCACAGGTACTATAATCAATCAATCAGGATACTAAATACTGGATAACAGGAACCTTTTGTGCTGGGTTCAATTTATTTTTCAAAATTGACCAGTGTGTGTAGTTATCTAATAACCAATAACATGGAACCCTGTATTTCTTTTCTTCCAGTTTATCTACGACCGATTATGTTATCAGTTATATTGCAGATATAATACCAGCATATTTGTTAATATCGGCACCGGACACCTGTATGGCAAAGTGAAGCGACCACAAGAAACCTGTCATATTTCACAAATCTACAAGGGTTACAGTGTAAATAGACATTACATGAGTGGTCTCTCTGAGCTGGACTAGGAAGAAGTTAACGCCAACTCACCATGTCCTGTCCTGTTCCTGCTGCTATCTGGATAGGGACCGGGATGGCCTGTGGCACCGCCGTCGTGCCAGTCACCATTACTGAAATATACATGGACACTTACCATAGCTACAGTCACCATTACTGAAATATACATGGACAGTTACCATAGCTACAGTCAACATTACTGAAATATACATATACAGTTACCATAGCTACAGTCAGTGAGGCCATAGCATTGTGACATCAGCTTTATGACATCATAGCATTGTGATGTTATCAGCTTTGTGATGTAATAGCATTGTCAGCTGTGTTCTTTGTGATGTCAAAGCATTGTGAGGCTATTAACTGATGATGTAGTAGCATTATGACAGCTCACTTGTTGCGATATCTACAATGTAGATATCGCTTGATCTCACACAAGCGATATCTACTGTGGGAGCCAGTTTTCGATGATAAATTATATTTGGCATTAACCTTTCTCAGTAAAGAACAGATTCTAATCCTTTTTTAGGCTGAGTCCCATGTGAGATTCAAACTCACACTTTCAGAGTCAGGCACATTATCACCAACACACTGCAAAGTCAGCGATCTGAGCCATTGTGGCCCACAGGCCCTTGTGTCTTTGCGAGGATCAAAGATTAAAAAAATATATATAAAAATTCGAGATGACCCCTAACTCGAAATGCTTCACAGTACAATACATCATGACAAGGCCGGACACTTCGAAGCACCCCACCCAACTGTTTGTCGATGGCTACGCTACCATCACATGCAATCGATTAATACTTAATGTAAACATAATCATGGATGATTGGTCTATCGAACACCTCTCATGACACCTAGTCTGTTTATTAAAGGATCTCTAAAAAACTCATAAACATAAAATACGATCATAATGAAAAATGTCAGACCAACTCTAGAGGTGTTTGCAGAATTTATGTCCTAAAAATAAAAAGTTGTTTAACAAACTATCATTAAATCATAATGTTACGAGGGAGGAGTGCAGACCAACTCCGGTGTGCGAGAAAGGATGGAGACAGCAGCACAGGTTAATGTCAATAACTTTGTCGGCACTTGTGCATTGTTTCTAACACCTGGCTGTCCTTTCTCTGCACTCCTCCTCGAAACAAATAGTGAACTGTATCAATATTTTAATGATAGTTTGTCAAACAACTTTTTAATTTTAGGACATAATCTTGACACAAAGTGGTCTGATATTTTGAAATGATCAGCTTTCATTGAGTATTATATGTTTATTAGTTTTGAGTTAGATTGCAATTCATCGGTCCGCTTTTGAGCTAAACATACAAATTCTTTGTTAAAGTCCATTGAAACACGATTTTGACTCCCAACTAAACGATCTTGACACAAATGGATGATGAACTGTCCGCATACTACAGGGGTGTGGTCGAAGCAAACCCTCTGGATGGTCAACGCTTGTAAATCTGCACTTTCTACATAAATTTGCGGGAGTTCTTCTTTCAATTACTGCTTGACTTGGAAATTAAGAGCTGTTTTTCCAGCAATGGCTTCTCAAAAGAAAGCATTAATTTTAAATGTCTCCTTAACAAGCATCAACCAACCAGAGGGCTTGCTTCGACCACACACCCCGTTTAGTGCGGACATATCGTCATCCATTTGTGTCAAGATTGTTGAGTTGAAAGTCAAAATTGCGTTTCAATCGACTTGCAGAAATAACAAAAAGAATTGGCAGGTGTCATGAGTGGTGCTTGATAGGCCAATCATCCATGATTATGTTTACATTAAGTATTAATCGATTGCATGCGATGGTAGTGTAGTGATCGAGCACAGACGTCGGGTGGGGTGCATCGGAGTGTCTGGTCTTGTCATGATGTATTGTACTGTGAAGCATTTCGAGTCAGAGGTCATCTCAAATTTTTACATATATTTAAAAATCTTTAATCCTCGCAAATATGCGAGGGCCGGTGCCGTCGCCTCCACTGAAATGACAAGTCTTAATACGAGTAGTCTAGGTTTACGTACTTTGTGTACCCCTCTGACAAGTATAAAATGGCATGGCTTTTAACTGCTGGCGATTAAGTGCCTGATCATGCTGATTTAATAGTATATGCTTATGTCAACATAAAGAAAAAGAAGACAATTCCAGTATCTAAATAAATTTCACAACTATTTCTGTGGACAATCTTAGGTTGAGTAGTAATTTGGTCATATCATGGCACATCAACTTGATGTCATTGTGGGACATATACTGCTTTAATGAAACCCATGATATGGTTCCAGCAAACTGGGGAACCTTGGTATCAGGAATTCAATTGATGATCAAATTGCTGAGCATTAGCTAACCAAGTCCCCCACCATTTTTCAGAAGAACTGAACTTTTTTTTTTCTGAAGAACCAATCTTTACAACAGTTTGGCATACTGCCCCCTGTTCCATTATACTTTGCTTACCTTGTGGCTGCTGATGTGGTACATATATTTTTGGAAGCATGTCTTGGTCTGCAGTCTGTGCATCTAGAGCCTTGGAGGATGTCAACTTGGTGTCCCATAGCTGTAGCAGAACAGGATCAGAGAAAGTTTTAAAGGGTTGGTTTATCTTGGTTCACAGGAAATCAGCTTTTTTATTGTCAATTTAAAAACATCTTTGTGATTCTTGTTTTTCAATGTCACGGTCCACAATATATTTCAGCTGTACGACTGGGTATAGTTTTACATCAGAAATGTAACTGATAAGCTTTAACCTCAAGCCTACCACACTGCACTTCCAGCTACACAATGTCTGCAGATAAACAATACTTCTACAGTGAGCGATTGAGTTTGTTTTTATGCCGCTTTTAGCAATATTCCAGCAATATTACGGCGGGGAACAACAGAAATGGGCTTAACACATTGTACCCATGTGGGGAATCGAACCAGGTCTTCGGCATGACGAGCAACGCCTTAACCACTAGGCTACCCCACCGCCCCGATACTGCTACAGAAATTGACATGAGCAACGACCTACAATGTACATTGTCCAGGCAAGATTACGAGCAATCAACCAAATCTGACTTTGATAGGGATGTCATAATATGTAAGTTTCATGAATTGATACGTATCACGATACCCATGTCACGATTCAATATGTATTATGATACCTATTTTCGCAGCTTTATTGCGTAAATTTAGTTACATTTTGAACATTAATATTTCATATTTTATAATTGTCCATGAAAAGATCAACATTATTTATTCTCACAGATTAAAAAGTTCTAATTTCCCATCTTTGTGCATGAAAAATAATCATTTATAACTCTCACAACATCAAAAAACATGATACAATTGCAAAATGTAAACGATACATAAACATATTTAAACCGATAACTTTCAAAACTAAATATCGATACAGTTTTGAATGTATGGATAATTATATCGTCTTAGAAAAACTATTGATGCATCGATGTATCGAGGCATCCCTAGACTTTGACCAACTAATCCACAAGTGAGTTTAGTTTTATGCTGCTTTTAGCAATATTCCAGCAATATCACAGCAGAGGACACAAGAAATGGACTCCACACATTGAACCCATGTGGAGAATCGAACCCAGATCTAACCACCACGCTATAACAACTAGGCTACCCCACCCCCAATCTATGAAATGACCCATAATTACAGGTACTTTATACACAGCTGTGTGGAACGGAGACTCACCTGTCTTAACTCTGTGAGCACCTGTTCATCTACTCCCTCGTCGAGGAAGGCTTCCTTTACATTGGTGATTACATCTTCTACTACAGTTTTATAGAGCTGGCTCTGCAATAAAAACAGCAGGGGTTAGGACTACCGATGTACCAGTTTATGTTTTGTAAATGTATATGTTCCAGGGCACTGGGTCTAACATTTCATCATTATTTGTATTGTTTAACCTAAAAATTACACTAAAATTCATTCACAAGTTAGGTTTCCTATAAAAATTGATGGAAACAGTGATAATCTCCCCTTTATATATGACTGTGAACTGATGGCGCATGACCATACAGTATAATAACTCTTAACATGCAGATTAGATTTGCATGTACAGTTGGTGTCAGTAACACCATTTACCAATATATACTACAGTCAAAATATTATGACAAGGAATTGTTGCATGCCCTGCTCAGTTTGTAGTAGTTTCCATATCTGTACCCATCATTCAAAATTTAACCTAATAAAAGTCACATAAATTTATGGCTGGTCCCGTGCAATCATGATGAATGGGACAAGAGTCGAATATTGAACAGAAGATCACTATTGGCTTTCAACAAACATTCAACCTCCGAGTTTGATTGTACTGCAACAGATCGTCATATTTGTCACAATCAATTATGTTCATCGGTAGTCATACACAGAAAAGCAAAAAGGTTTACACATTCCATTTGATGATGTAATTTTGACTGTGCAAATACAAAAAGAAACAAGTTTTCATGACTGTTTTTGATCCGTAAATATAATGGAAAATGAATAACACCCACCCACCCCACGTATCTGTGCACATGCAGATAGGGTTGAGGGTAGGAGTTCCACCTGTAACCCCTGCTTGAAATGTATTCTCTTTATTATTTTGAGGGTTTAGGGTTTGGGTTTGGGTTAGGCTTTTCATAAAAAACCCATCTATTCTTAGGCATAAAATGATAAAAAAATGGGCGTCATGGGCAGAAATCTTTCCAGGTGGACATTAGTTCACCAAATATTTTGAATGGGAGTTTCTTTGATCCTCAGTCACGATTCTTTTTGCATGTGGGTCTTGTTTTTGTCCTACCAGCCACAAATCAGTCCGAGTGCAATAATGATCAAACACACATCCTACAAAGAATATATCACCGATGTTCTGACATTCTTGAGGGAGTGAGTGAGTGATTAGGGTTTAATGCTGCTTTTAGCATCATTCCAACAATATCACGGTGGAGGACACCAGAATTGGGTTTCACATATTGTACCCATGTGGAGGTCTTTTGAATAAAATGAAACATGTTTTTATCCAGTATATATTTAATAAATTTTATTTTGTGCTGAGCAAACTAGATAAATTAGAATTTGCACTCTGTAATATCCCAAGAGTTAAGCCCATCAGGACTACAGATATGTGACTGCTTGATGGATCTCCCTTTGACTACAACATGATTCATTATCACCCCCATGTTCATTTAATGGAGTGAGTGAGTATGGTTTTACACCACTTTTAGCAATATTCCAGCAATATCACGATGGGAGACACCAGAAATGGGCTTCAAACGTTGTACCCATGTGGGGAATCTCATTTGATGGACCTTGAGCCAGTACTCAGTGTGGAACTTAGCGGACATCTGTTCTGCTTTACACAGGAAGTCTTCACGTTGTGTGAATGAGTTTAATTTTACGCCGCTTTTAGCAATATTCCAACAATAACACAGTATGGGACACCAAGAATGGGCTTCACACATTGTACCCATTTGGGGAATTGAACACTGGTTTGGAGTGACGAGTATAAAGGCTACCCCACCGCCCCTATATATACTGTAATTAATAATTCTCACAAAAAAGTGACCTTTGTCATTTTGATTTTTTGTTGTGGGGCCATTCTGACTTTATCTTTAGAGGCTGATACGAGGCCATGCTCCCTTTCAAGAACGTGCCACAACACCATTTCACATGTTACTGACCTCACACAGAATGTTTGTTTTTCTTCCAATATGATCTAGTTCAACAGCTACTTATTTTTTTTTAATGAAGAGTTTTCATCAATATAGCCAGTGACATGAGTGAGTGAGTTAATATTTAACTGTACATCTGCAATATTTCCGCCATATCACAATGCCTGGGGACATGATGTTACATACTAGTGAAATGTTCATTAGATTTGGAAAGGGAGGTTTCTTGTTCAGTGTTTAGAGAACAACCATCAAAGGAACGAAGATTAGAAGATTTACAAATTCACATACTGTCATTAATAAAATGGGGAGTAAAACAGCGAGCGACACCATTGCTCAAACTCACACTGTCCACGGCACATTTCTAGTGCTTTATGTAAACATATCAAAATAACTTGATTCAGGAAAAAAACTAGTCGCTCAAGATTTATACTCGCCTCGAACAAATGTGGCTACAGCTAGCCCTTCCAAAGCTTTTTTTTCAAAAACAAAACAAATGAGAATTTAAATGCACATGTTCTGTTGGCTTTGTTTATTTGATTATCTTTATTGGTAAATAGACAATTGGTACCCAGTTGTTATTTGGGTTTTTTTAAAACACAAAACAGCTTGTGACCAACTCAACCTCAATGGTTTTAAAAACCATATTTCCTTTGTGATATGATCAGCTGTAGTGCAGTATTGTTGACTACGATTGGCCAGGTTCGTGCACCTGTCGCACGTGAATATAGACACGACTTGCTCTACTTGGTATCAGCCAGGAATATCAAAGCTATAGAGTATACTACCTACCCAAACAAATCACTGTACTGCCTGAACGGTGTTTAAACATACACTTCGTGAATACTAACTTAGTCAAACCATGTTTCAGAAATCAGTCATTTTGGCTTTTATGGCCTTGCGACACCGATTTATTGCGGTATCAAAATCTGTTTTCTAAATCAAACGTATCACCGCGGTCTCCATTAAATACTGTGAAACAAGCATACGTGGGTTTGACTATATTTCATTAGTACGGTTGAATTGAATGAAACATATTTTCCGAATACTTGGGTCATGTTCGCCCGACATCTTGAGCCGTCCCGGGAAATCCAGCTCTCTCGTGCTTTCAGATAGGAAAATTTCATCTGTACATTCAATTGCAAACAAATAAAATATATTACCTCCCCCAACAACTAAACTCACCACTGAACTCGATGTAGCCATGCTGTATGAAAGAAAATATTGGATAAATGTTTCTAACAGCACAGATTTGAGAGGCAAGTGGGCTCCGAGGAAGCCAGCGAAATCTGCCACAGCCTCACTTTTATACTCGATAATAAACCCACTGTCTCTAGAGGGGGGTCTAGCAATTGCTCAAAATGATATTATGTCGAGGCAATGCTCAAATCACGCGAGATGATATGAGACAACGCGAGAAGTAAACAAAGACATGTGACACCCACGTGGTAAAGCCTGACCGCGTTGTTTGAGTATTACAACATTGATCGCAATATCAAACATTGGCGTGAAAGAAAAATCATATTTAAATATGGATTTTAGCGACTTTTGCGGTAATTTAAAGCGCAAAGACTATAAAACGAGAGGTTGGATGATTATTACACAAATAATTGTCCGAATCACTGATTTTATGGAACGACTGTCATGTTCCGTGGGTTTTTTTCAAAACACGTGGTGTTACAAAATGTTGTTATTGATTGTATACTAGTATTTGTTAAGATAAGGGAATAACCGACTTCATCATAATCGATATAATTTCCGTGGAGCTGTTTGATTGGGTGACTTCAATCTGTTACGGCATTGTGACGTCATAACACTTTCTCATGACGGAACTTGCTTGTTACATCACTGTTTCATTCTGTTATCAACTTGAGCTGATCAGGCATAAGAAACAGATAAGAGAATCTTACCAACTCTTTTTGACTTCATCTTAAATTAATTAAAATAAGTAGCACACAACCTCACTAACGTTGAAGGGGTCGTTGTCGGCACGGGTACTACAGATACGTACCCTAGGTACGTTTCTGTATACAGATATGTACCCTAAACAAAGTTAAAGTACAGAAACGTAGCCGGTACCCTAAAAGGCGGACGAGTCCATATTCCGCAATCCAAAACGGAAACCGTATGTAGTTGTTCCCGTTCAACTGATTCTGAGTGATATTCATATCCATCGCTGTGCTTTCTCTTTACTTACCCTGAATGACTGACTGAGTTTGGTTTTACGCCGCTTTTAGCAATATTCCAGCAACATCACGGCGGGGGACACCAGAAATGGGCTTAACACATTGTGCCCATGTGGGGATTCGAACCCGGGTCTTCGGCGTGACGAGCCAACGCTTTAACTATTAGGCTACCCCACCGCCCCCATTACTTACATATGTATATAATCAAATGTATCTAATACAACAGTATGACAATGGGAATGGAATCGTCCCAGGGTACGTTTCTGTATTCTTATTACGTATACAGAAACGAACCTGGGGTACATATCTGTAGTACCCGTGCCGACAACGACCCCTTCAGCCTCACTAACCACGACAAATTGTTAGTTGTACATATTTATAGTTAGGAGATAAACATACTTTGCTGGAAAACCAGAGGTATATAACGAAATTATAATAGCTCTAAATTTGATTTAAAACCGAACGCGCATTCAGAGGTATATAATCTTGTTATATACCTCTGATTTTCCAACACAGTATGTGTATCTCCGTTCTACCATAACCGCTTTATTGGGATTTTAAAAAAGATACATACTGTGTTGGAAAATCAGAGGTATATAACGTAATTATATACCTCTGAATGACTTTAATTGACCAATCGCAATCCAGTATTTACTGAAGTCATGGTAGAATAGATATACAGAAGCTGTTATTTCCCATGTTACGAACTACGTGCTTTGTGTATTGTATATACTGTAACATGACATGGAAGTTAATGGTCCTTCCGCAGGGTTCGACACTTTCTGTTTTAAAGAGTAATGGTGGGCCTTTGGTGGCATGATTGGAACATGCATCAGATACCCGAAGTCACATGTTATTCTTCAAATATTATTCTTTGAATATGCCTTTTGGCTATATTACGTGTTATATTTCGGATTTAACTATCTCAGTAAAGTACCAATCCGGGATTCGAACCCACACACTCGGAGTGAAGGGCCAAATCGCTAGCATTTACCTCGGTTGTTGTTTCCAGCTATGTGGCGGCGGTCTGGACTACACAATCCATTGATCAACGGCATGAGCATCGATCTACACAATTGGGAACCGATGACATGTGTCAACCAAGTCAGCGAGCCTGACCTCCCGATCCCGTTAGTCGCCCCTTACGACAATCATGGTATAAAAGTTCATCCGTCAGTGCAGACAATGGCAAACTAGGTAAAACAATGCAGTAATTAGATAAAACAAAAGCCCAAAGCCCACATCCCATATCCATAAGCCCTACATACAATGCCAAAGGTAGCTAAAACAATGGCGTCTTCTCGGAATGGTAGGCAAAGCAGTGAAGCATGCTAATTGGAAGACAATGGGGGATTATGGGGGGCATCTCCTCATAGATGCGCCCCCCACCCCCCTTTTGTCCTGAAAGTTTATTTAATGACCATTGAAACTCTCGTGAAAATGAAGTGTCCACCCCAACTTTCTCAATAGTGTGCAGCCCTCCTTTCTCAAAAGCTGTATCCGCCCCTGCTCCTAACTAACCACGTGGAAGGCTGGCACTCCAGTTTCAACAAGCGTGCTGCAAGTCTCCCCAACCTGTTCAAGTTCGTCGACTTACTGAGACAGGAGCAGAACGTCATCGAAATAATCGTAATGCAGTTGAATGCCGGGGGTCGTCCTCCACCTAAGTAACCGTAACATGCCGGCATCCCGGGAACAAACCAAAATAATGCAGTGAATGGCTAACAATCCTACATGCCTCATTGATCGCACTTCACTCTTCATGAAATGTTACATATGTTCATATTCAAATGATGATCGATTCGTAGAATAGGAATTATAGTTGTTTTCTTTCAATCATTATTTTCATGGTTGTATTTTCTTAACACAACAGTAATTATACAACTTGCTGTACTCTCGAGTCTCTACTACAAGTCCAAATTTTCGGCAGAGGTGTGTGTGTGTGCGCGCGCGCGCGTGTGTGTGTGCTCACGTGCGTGTATGTGTTTTGTAAAACCTATGTACTATATTTTACCACTTTGAACCAACCGGTGATGCTTGCTTGATAACGGCGTTAGTACCTACACCGAAACGTCGCACTCATTGCAACAACGAAGTTGATTATCCATAGAACTTGGTTTTCCTATTACGTGCGTAGTTTTACGTGAGTGTGTTCTATTTTGATTGGCTAAAATCGAAAGATCAATCAATATATCTTTATGATCTAAATAGAAATAAAGAGAGAGCGAGTATTTTTCTAGAACAATGATCAACGTTGGTATTGTGTTCTTTTTTGTGGGCTCGTGAGCGCTGACCTCAGTAAGTGTTCGAACTCTGTGTTGACATGTTTACCCAACGGTGGGGAAACTCTTACACACGTTCATGGTCAACCTAATCCCACAGTCGTCCTAATTGTGATCCGTGGGCGAGAGGATCATACTGTCATTGATGCAGATTTGTTTTCTTCGCTGAAACAGGGATAATCTACGGCTTCTATTCTCCCTTATTTAACCATACAGGCATTGGGGGTCAGTGATATTTTACGTTCGCTTCTTCTACTAAATACGTCACCACTTCACTCGTTTGTTTCATGTTGAAGTTTACTTTTCGTCTTTGTTTCTGTCTTAAATATTTTACTAGTTTTCTTTATAGTTATTCTTTTTTTAAAATATTTTAGTTTTTCTTTTCACTTTCATTCATTTCTGTTCAAATTTCATTCACACAACTCCATTGTCAACACCTGTAAGAATTACCAATTCTTCCACTATTAATAATTCTTCTTCTAATACTACCCCTGCTACCACAACTACTCCTGCAACCACAACTAGTACTACTGCTACCACAACTACCACAGTACCTACTACAACTGCTAGCAGAACTTTCACTTTTGTTGCAGTTAGTACTTCCGCAAGTACCCTCCTTAATAGTAATAGTAATAGTCAGCTTATATGGCGCTCATATCAGGCACATTGCTTGCTCACGGCGCTACGTACATTGCTATCCCCGGTCATAGGACACCATCGTACTTGCCTAATATGATTCCTTGCTCTGTTACAACAACTACTCCTGCTACAGTTTTTTTCTTTCTACGAATGCAATCACTACAACTGTCATCTCTGCTACAGATACCCGCCCTATACCTACTGCTATTACGTCTAGTAATGTCACTTCTTCTTATAGTACTGATAATGTTGACGTTCACACCAGCAGCGTTATTTACTTTAGAAAATGGATGAAATTAAAACTATAACGTCACACACCAGAAAACGAAATAGTAATTCAGATAAACAATGTGTTAAAGTTCCTATAGATAATGATACTGATGAGGAAATGGTATATCAACGTGAAAGTAACCGAAATAAGAATCCATAGTATATTTAATTGTAAATAATTTTAATGAATTAGCTGCATAATTATTAAATGTTTACTTTTCTTCCCTGATCATCTTGCCCGAGATGGCGTCAATGATGATGATGATGATGACGTCAATGACAGGCGAAATAGAGGGTAAGTACATGTAAAAGCAAAAATAATTAACATACGAAGTAAACTGTGAAAGTTGAAAACAGTAAAACGGAAATGTTGTAAAAACACTAAGCACAGCTTTAAATTATGGAAGATAATTGCAAAAATAATTTAACACTAAGTTTGTGTTTAATTTTTATCAAGTATCCTTTTCGGATTATATTACTTCAACATTGTTAACATTATTAGTGCAGTGAATTTAATATTCAGAAGTGTCAAACTTTTATCAAGTGGGTTTTTGTCCAGATTGTGCTGTCCATTGCAAGAGCGGGTGTAGGTATGATATTAAGTCCTAAAGAGGAAGGATAGCCTGCCCCCGTGGTGGGCATCTCCCGGAAGTGGAAGTGACATTGAGATGACTCAACAACGGCAAGAAGACGTCGACGAGGGTGTCGACGATGATGCTCGTGGACGTGACATTGAGATGACTCAACAACGGCAAGAAGACGTCGATGAGGGTGTCGACGATGATGCTCGTGGACGTGACATTGAGATGACTCAACAACGGCAAGAAGACGTCGACGAGGGTGTCGACGATGATGCTCGTGGACGTGACATTGAGATGACTCAACAACGGCAAGAAGACGTCGATGAGGGTGTCGACGATGATGCTCGTGGACGTG